TTCTCATTAGAAAATTCTGCATTTATTTAAATTGAAATAGAAAACTAGGTAACAACAAACTATTTACACACTTTCCCGCATTTGTGGCAAAAATTCGAAACAGAAGCGTTTTGTTCTAAGAAAATATCTCTTCTAATCATAATGTTCATATTCAAAGGATTTTAAACATAGTTTTGTGTGTCAAAACAACAGTGATTGGTGAATTAAAATAACTGTGAGAAGGAGGGAAAAAAAAAGTTTTAAATTAACTGATTTAAACATTGTGGAGCAATTTAGATTTGTTTTTATGAGTTAAAAATGTTTTTTGGAAAAAGCCCGTATGGCATTCCCTCCCCACTTGAAATCTACTCGCTCTGGCCCTCTTTCAAATATGTGTATGCATCAATATCTCCAGCATTGACGGCTGAACTATAAATAAAGGGCGTTCATCCATTCTTAATAGAGAAATAGATGGCATCATGTTTTCCTACTTTGTCTATACTCTACTAAAACAAATTCACTCTTCCTTTTACATATGTTTATGATGAGAGAAGTTTCAGTAAACTAAAGATCAAAAATAATCTGCCAACAACAATTACAAAGTCTTTTTGCATTAATATTAATTTTAATTGAATGTGAGCTTGCTGAGAGCATTGACAATCTTTTTTTTTTTTTCAACCCTGAGGGCACAGACGTCATTATGACGTCTATACAACGCCTTATTAATGCCACATATATATGATGATCTCGCAAAAAAAAAAATTTTTTTATAAACTAGCAGGAAAGTAAGTTTTTTTCTTAAAGCTTGCTTTCGGTGATAGGTGTTATGTAAATATATCTTTTTAATTTATTTTTTTTTAACGATAATTATAAACCAAGTAAACTTAGCGAACTTAAACTTTAGATTGTTTAGTGTTTTAGATGTACTTAATAGTTTTAATAAAAGACATATAACAGCATTGATAAAATATATTTATCACGAGTGCGATTCTCAAAAAACCGTTTCTAGTGGTAATGTGCCACCTCCAACCCTTGTCGCCCCTACTCATTCCCTTGCTCTCCCCTTCCTTACGACGCTAAACCTCAATCTGCCACTGGCATGTCATAGAATGTAAACACTGATTTCTGAAAGAAAGAAAAAACACGTGGTCTCTAAATAGAGGTTAACCTCTAAATAGAGGTTAAGAGGTAAAAATAGTCTTAGGAATCAGTAATCGGCAATTATATATTAACAAGATGTCTACCTTCGATCTGAAAAGTGAAGCCACTTTTTGCCCTTTTTAAAAATTAAATTTGTAAACAAATGTTTTTGACTTTTCTTTTCTTAAATGAAGTAAGATTATTTTAAATTTAAATACTATTTACGTAAATGTATTAAGCGGAAATAATAATACTTGAAAAATAATAATTTATGATTCCTTAATTTATTTTCGATTAAAAAGGGATTAAAGATTTGAATAGAAAAGTAAAACGACAGACGCTTTTGTAGCGTTTTTATGAATTAAAATACTTTTTAAACATAGGTTGATAAAAAAACTTTTTTAAGTATTTTATAATTGTTAAAATTTGTTTTTGAATTATCTTTACAGGGGTGCGCAGGTTATCGCAGAAAAATAAAAATATTTATATCTCAAAAATGGCTTTTATTTTCAAAGTAAAACTTTTCACAATACCAAATCACATATATTTTTACTCAAAAACACTAATGAATTTTAAAGTAGCCTCCTTTGGCATCAATGACACTCTTCAAACGCTCTGGAACTGACTCACAGCATCATCGCACCATTTCCGAACTAAGATTCTTCCAGATCTTCTTCAATTCGTTTCGGAGGGCTGCCAAATTTGGATATGTTTTGGCTGCCTTCTTGGTCTCCATGACACTCCCAATAGCAAAATCCATAGGATTAATGTCTGGGCTTGAAAGAGGCCACATATCTGGGGTCCAAAGGTGCGGAACATTTTCTTTCAAGAAGCTGACAGTTTTCTTTGCACTGTGTACTGGTGCTCTATCCTGCATAAAGGTCCATGGATCGTCCCCAAACTTCTTTTTGGCCCAAGAAATGAGGTTAGCTTTGATGAAGTCAACATAGGTCACCTGGTTGACTTTTACACCTTCAGGAACAAAAACAAGGGGAGTTTTTGACCCATCAGAGCACACACCTGCCCAAAAATTTTCAACTGTGAAAATTTTTCCATCACTGTAAACGATAGGGACATCTTTGTGGTCTTTGAACCAATTTAGTAACTTTTTTGATCTTTTGCGTCTTTTGGCTCTAGTTGCCTCACTCAGAAGTTGTCTTTTTGACTTGACAAGGCTCTTCATACCCAGATCATCGTGGACAACACCTTGCATAGTCCTTCGAGACACACCTGCTTCTCTAGCTAAGGATGAAATTTACCTGTTTGGGTTTCGTCGTACTTTGCAGTCGATCGAATTTCGAAGTTCTTTAGTTCTCACATTACGATTTAGGCCTGTTTTTTTCTTTTGTAATTTTTTCCAGTTTCTAAGTCTTTTAAGAGTCTCTAGACGTTGGTATTATGAAGCTGTCCTTCACGGCTTTGCAAATTTCAACTTTTTTCACACCACGTTTCCATAGATCAAAAACAAGTTTTCTTGCATTTTCGTTTTGCGTGCTGTCAAATTGTGCCATTTTTTACAACTAAATTAGTGAAAAACGGCATTTTTTAAGGATTAACTTGTTGAACTGTGTTGCATTTTCCCGCCAAAAATGTTTTTCACTGTATATCATATTTTTTGTTTTCATTTTTTTCTGCGATAACCTGCGCACCCCTGTAATTTATTGGGAACTTTTGACATGCATTTTTAAATTTTACTCCACACTTTGGCTTCAGGTTTTGCCCTTTTTAAAAATGGCGGACTTTTGTTATAAACAAAAAAAAGCAGCTTTGCTTTTTGTCCAATAAAATCCCGCAAGTTAGACATCTAGTTATATAATATATCATTGGTAATCGGTTTAATCAGAAAAAGTAAATATTTTTCATTTTTTTATTGGATGTTTTCAATTTTTTATTAGGCATACTGATAAAAATTTTTTTTTGTCATCTGATTACGCCCCCATAAACGTGATATTAGGGGAACCGACCCGGATCCCCCACCCTCTGTGCGCCCCTGATTATCTCTCGTATCAGCTCATTTCCTTTTTTTTTTATTATTAGTCTGGCTTTTTTTAATAGTTATTGTCCTTCTTTTTAATATAATTATTTTTTGGTCACAATCTATATTATTACTTTTTGTTATTTGTTTGTTTTTTGCTTTATTTGTTTATTTTATTAAGGTTTTACTCCACCCAATTAACACACAAACGTCTATTAAACGTCATAACAACGTTTCGACAAAACGTTTAGATTTGGTCGATTATCTGTTTAGAATGAAATACAGATTAACGGGGCAGCAGTAACAGTATCGAAAACAGCTAAATTGATTAATCTCGAAAAGGGAGTTTCCGGAATAACATCGAAATAGAGAATAACATCGAAATTGTAAAAATAGGAGTTGTATCGAAAATCCGAAAAATAGAATAATCTCGAAATTGTGAAAAAAAAAATAATATCAAAAAGAGATTTTTCAGAATAATATCGAAAAAGAGAATAAATCGAAATTGTCATAAAAGGAATAGTATCGAAAATCCGAAAAGCAAAATAATCTCGAAACAGCTCAAAAGAGAAAATTATTGAAAAGAGACTCATCGAAATAATATCGAAATTGTGAATAAAGGAATAGTATCGAAAATTCAAAAAACGGAATTACATCGAAATTGTGAAAAAAGGAACAATATCGAAACGGGAATTTCCGGAACTTTATCGAAACTGCGAAAAAAGGAATAAAATCGAAATCACATTTTTGATGTTAATCATTAAAATGAGTTTTCGATTTTATTCTGTTTTAATTGTTTTTGACATTAATCAGAAAATCACGTTTTCAATGTTAATCATTAAAATGAATTTTCGATCTTATTCTTATTATTATTGTTTTCGATTTTGTTCCACATTTGATATATTCGATAAAAAAACTTTTTGATATTAATCAGAAAAACACATTTTCGATGTTAATCAGTTAAATAATTTTTCGATCATAATCCGTTTTTATTGTTTTCGATATTGTTCCACATTTGTGAATTTCGATATAAAAACATTTCGATATTAATCTGAAAATTACATTTTCAATCTTAATCATTAAAATGAGTTTCGGTCAGTTATTTTTCGATACTAATCATTTTTTCGATCAGTTCATTTTCGATACTATTCCGCTTTTCCGATTAACGTTTAAAACAGACATCCATAAAACGTCTATATTCAAACGTATTTTAGACATCTTTTATAGGATTATTTTACGTATATAAAGCGTTTAGATTTGGTCTAATTTACGTTTAAATCTAGTCTAATTAATGTATATAAAGCGTTTAGATTTAGTCTAAGTAAACGTATACTGAACGTTTAGATCTTGTCAAATAGTTTCTTTGATTTAGTTAAGGTTGCTTCTTTGGTTAAAAAAATAACTTCTTGATTTTAATGATAAATTTTTCCAAATAACTTTAAAAGAAAAAAATAATTTTTTTTTAACAACAAATACACTTTAAAAGATTATAAAAAACTTTTTGTTTTGCTGAGTCAGCAAAAAATAAGTAAAATATAAACACACTTTAAAAACTTTATAATTCCTAAAATAAAAATCTAATGAACTTAAAAATTTCAGAATATCTTTATGATTTCAACACAAAGGGACTGTAGCAGGATTTTTTTATAAAAATTTGTATATTAAAAATGGCGGATAAAAACAATGGAAGCAAAATAAAAGTCAATTTTTAACATAAGATAATTATTCCAAACTTGAAATAATATCATCAGTTTCGTGTAATTCTGCTACAGTCCCTCAAGTAGCTGTTAAGGAGCACTCCCTGAAAATTTCAAGTTGATTGCTTTAATACTTTTTAAATAAACCCATTTTAGGTTTTGTGCAATATCGAAAAAAACATTTCTATAAAAAACGCATTTCAAAAACATTCAATTATACTTTTTAATATTTTCCATAAGAGTAAGATTTTCCACCTTCAATATCTTTCTCTTTATTAATATGTCCTTTTTTGACACCTCTTAGAATTTTTCTGTCCTTTCTAAAAACTTCAGAAGATTTTCTTTTTAAATGACGTTGACGGAGGAAAACAAGAAATAACCGTTGCTAAGGGCGATGCCATAGAAGCTGAAGGATAAGGGCGTTGCTATAGAAGCTGAAAAGACTGTACCTTAAAAAAATAGAAATTACTCATAATATTGGATTTGAATGTATATAAAGATATATATTATCTTAATCTATATTAAATTTCAAATAAGAAAACGTAATATTTTTTTTGATTTTTTATTGTTTTTTAACTATAGAGCCACCTTAACGTAATTTCAATTTATATAAGTTTAAAAACTTTTTAACTTTATATAAGTAATAAGAGATATATAGGTCTTGAAATTTATAAATAAGATGTAGTTATAAAAGCAATGAAATTTATAAATAAGATATAGTTATAAAAGATCTAGTCTTATTTTTTTATATTTTTATAACTATTATAATATTTATAAACTTTTATACTACATTACTTATGCTATACTTTTGTATTATAACCCTATATATAAAGTTATATACTTATATAAAACGTTTTTATATAGTGGGAGTTTAGAGAACAAATGTTCGTGCACTATACTTGTTTATGCTTCGATAATTAAAAAAAAATTAAATGATCAAGCTTTTTGCAGTAAAAATTTTACAGTAACAATTTCTATCAAATATTTTTTAAATTTAATCTCATCAGCAGAAAATAAAAGTTTACATTAAGAATAAGTTAAAGATTACTAACATAATGAATAAACTCATAAACATAAATTTTGGATCGCTGTTTTCTCTGGTTTATGCATTATCAAAAATCTTCCAAGTATACCGTCTACCGCTTGTTTATAACGCGCCTACTCTTGTGCAAAATCATCTTCTACATCCGTATTCTGATCGTCTCATTTCGTAACCTGATTTGTAACCGCAAAAAACTAGGGTAAATAGTTACCATTTTAAATGTACATTCATTAATCAAAATTACATTAACAAAGATGAATACCTTCTGTTACACAATCATACTAACGTTTACAAAATGAATTTAAACTGTTTATAAAACTTACGAAAAAAGTTCTTGCAGCAGGACTTTCATAACGAGAGATCAGCAACTTATATTTTTTTAACTGTTTTAATGTGGCCATCAATAATTTCTAAAACATTGATTTTTTGGCATTTATGAAGGTAGATTGTCACGAAAAAAGCTTTTTAACTTCCATGAATTAAAATGACGCACCCAAAACTCGTTTATTATTTATTCATCAGTCATTTGCTCTCAGTTGTTGTAAAGTAAATCTTGAAAACACATTTAAGTCTAATTTAATTATTTAGCCCATTAAAAATAATTTTATAGCAGTAAATTTTTTTAATTATGTTAAATTTCGTTTTAATCATGGCTATTTAAACCGCGTGACTCAAGCTGTTGTAAGAGTCTTCTGACCAATGGCTATATTACTATATTATAATATAACATACATTTATTAAAGGTCGATCAAACGTTTAAAATAACGACTTATATTAGTCATTATTGTAAACGTTTGATCGACGTTTAATAAATGTACGTATTAAAAGATTTAAAGCGTAGATTTTAAATCTATAAACGCTTACGTTTAATTAAAGTCCATTAAAGGTTTACAATATTGACTAATATAAGTCGATATTCTAAACGTTAGATCGACGTTTGATAAACGTATATATAATAAAGTATGAAATATACATTTTAAATCTAGCGTCAATTTTTAGCCAATAACAGGTCGCTAAACGTTTTTTCCATTTTTCGATCAATTTCGACTAAATATTGACCAACTCTGAACCAATCTGTGTTTACTGGGTAGGTATGAGACATGAAATTTTTAAATTAAAACATTAGATTGTTATATAATTTATTTATGAATTATTATCGATTGTTATAAAAAATTATCAAAATTGAACAATTCTACAAAAAGTTATAGCGTTTTAAACACCAAATTTTTGATATATGGATTTGTTGAAGAAGCCGTGACCAAATTTTCAGTTTTTCTTAACTTAAAATGTCATAACTTTGTCAGTTCTTATCAAAATTCATAAAACTTGGTATCAAAAAAAAAGATCTTAAAAAAGAGAATAAAGATACGTAAAAGGTGTATGCAGGGCGTTAGAAGGGCGTCTATAACACCCTATAAAGTATTCAAAATGTAGGTTTCTTTAAACAAAATTTTTATTTTTTATTATAATTTTGAATTTTGTTTTTCTTTTTTTTTTATTTTATATACTTTATATATACTATTCAATATTATTTTATATCATAATGTACATTTAAACATTATTAATGTTCAAATGTTTATTATGATACGCCCTCCCCTAACTACTGTGTGTATAGCGAAACTCAAGTCAAAATTAGGTACCTATTTTGGATGAGTTAGTAGGGTGTTTGAAGGTGCTTTTATTTCATGAAATTTGCCAGGTAACAAGAAAAAAAGTTTTAGCTGATGTCTCAATATATTAGCATTTCTTCAATACATACCTGACGCACAAACAACAAGGAAGTTTTAAAACAATAATAAAATCATTATAAACGAAATTTTTTAAAAATATTTTTGTACAGGACTAAAGTAAAACTATTGCAGTACTCAAAAAAAAAAGTTAATACAAATTTCTATAAAAGTTACACAGCAAAACATGTTCATATCATGTTACCCTTAAAAATATTGAAAAAAGCGTGGTACAAAATTTAGACGAAGAAAACGGTTCCGTTAAGGTTTTTTTTTAAAAAAAAAAAAAAATTTAATAAATAAAAAATTATTCGACCATAAAACAATGGGTGAAACGAATATTCTTAAAGATGTCGGAACAAAAATCTTACATTTATAAGATAAGATATTTTTGGTTGTTTTTCTTGGCGTCAATTAAATGATCGGTTTGTCAAATCAAATTTTTTCATAAACTTGTTGATTTTAGTTTTAAAATAACTTTACATTTACATTATTTTACTTTAAATCACTCTTTCTTTTTATCAAACACTCCTTTGATAGACCTTCGGTTTTTGTTTTGAACCTTATTGTTTAAATCTTTTGTTTATCCGAACACAGAGACCGAACTAAACTTAATGATCAATTTTGCTAATCTCGCCTTCGCTTCGCTTGTCATTGTTAAAACGATTTATTTTATAATTGTCGTCATAGTGGGAACGAGATAATGTTTGTTTAAAATTAAATTATAAAAGATAAATTATTTAACATCCTTTGAAAAAATTTTTGTTATAATATTCTTTAATAAGTTTTAAAAAAGCAGAAATAAAGTAAAATGTTTAATTTTTATGCACGTGAAAACTAATTATAATAAAAAACTGATGACTTTTGCAAAAATTGCTATTGGAGCAAATCTCAACAAATAAAAATTAAATAAAAACTTAAATCCAAATCAAATATGGAATTATATGTGTAACAGACAATATTTCAACAATTGGATTTCTTTCACATAGCCTACTAGTAAGTACGCTCTTTAAAAAAAACGCACCATGAGTCTCTAGGGGACACCACTTGATAACAATTCTGAATAAATTAATAAACAATTGAAGAGCTGAGTAGACAAAGGAGTTATCTAAAATTAAAAATTGGTTAAAACAAAAAATTAGCTTTTTTTCTGGATGTACTTGGTTTAATTGATGATAAAGTGATTCACGAACTTAAAACCCTTTATTTTGGTACTAATATTATATTTAAAAACTATAAGCTTTACTTCCTAAGTTTGCCTAATTATTATTTTTAATTGCACGATTTTTTTTTTTTTAATTTATTTATTTGAGTTTTCATGCTATATTTTTCAATACAATGTTCTTATATCCGAAGATATTGTTGGCTTAGCATAGGAACAGCCACAAATAGTCATTAAGACTAATCCAAAGTGGCGTCCGTTATTGACCAACATTTTTGCGTGCCGAAGTATACAACTCAAGCGCTGAATCGGCGGTGGCGGGATTTGAACTCGTATCGTTCAACAGTCCGGGTTTTCACTTTTCCTTTAACGCTCTAACCATCTGAACATCCCGCCACATTACTCGATTAGAATTATTTGGTAGTTAACCTTTTTGACAACTTGACCCTTTAATTATTAACAATTTACTATTAAAATAAAATAGTGCATAAAAATGCTTAAAAGAATCAGTAATATTCTTTTATTGATATTACTTTTATTGTAATGCAAAAATCATGCTAAACAAATCTTTAGTTTCTGTTTTAAAGCTTTTTAGATCAAAATGTAGGTATTGCCATAGAGACCACAATAACATTCTCATATCACTTTCAGAAAAATGTATATATATATATATATATATATATATATATATATATATATATATATATATATATATATATATATATATATATATATATATGGGCGTCTGTCTAATATATATATATATATATATATATATATATATATATATATATATATATATATATATATACACATAATTTTTTTTTATTTATTTATTTTTTTTTCTTATTTATTTAATTTGCCGTTGATAAATATTACAAAAAAGAAATTACAATAAAAGAAAATCCTGACCGGAGCAAGAAGAAGACAGGTTGTCTTATCACCGAGCCCCGTCAAACAAAAATTTACATGCACAATAAATGATAAAAGACAAAAAGTCAGTATAAATACAAAAACAAAAACAAATCAAAAACTTCAGCAATAAAATAATTTGTTGCTAACAATCTTCCAGCAGAATATTTAAAAAAAAAAAAAGTAAAAACGACAAAAAGTCATGAAAGTTATAAAAACACACAAAAAAATGTGTTGTTTAATTGAAAAAAAAAAAAAAAAAAAAAAAGCAATATATGTAAACATAAGTATTTTGGCTGATTATTTAATATCATCAAAAATATGAACGAAAAAGACAATTTTATTTTCGTTATCTTTTATACTAATGGTTTGAAACCATTTTAATAAAAGCTAAAGAAAGTGTTAAAGATTTAATTTATTTTTAAGTGATTTAGTTTAAACCTTTAAATTGTTTTCAAAAAAGGTATTTGAAATCTAATATATCGAATTCCATGTTCAGTAATTGCCTTTTTGAATCATCCTTAAAACTTTGCAAAGTGCAGTTTAAAACGAAGTTTTGTTATTTACTAAAGATTGGAAGATAACACACAGAATAACACACACAAACACACACATACCTGTGAAATATTTTAATTACAAACGTAATTTTGTGATTTGTGGTAACTTAATGTTAGATTTTTAGTTAATCTAAAATTTTATTCAACAATTCAAAATTATTTTAGGTGCGTCACAATTGCGACCCAAGCTTAGGAACAAGAAAGCTCAATTAAACGTAATTAAAAAATAATAATTCTGTAAACTTTTCGTTCAAAAATACTTTTATTAATAAAACAAAACAAAACAAACGTTTTTTCATGTTTCTTTAAAAAAATTTTTATGCGAATATAATGAAAAAATTAGGCTAATTATGCGCTTAGAAAAGATGCAAACTTGGAATTTAATTATAAATAAGTACAATAAATAGATATATGATATAATAATTACCGTTATAATTAGAAGGTACATGTAGCGTACGATATAAAAAGAATTTCAGGTGAAATTACCAATAATTAATACCAAATATCGTTTAGGTAAGTATTTAAAATTAAAAATCAAAAAAACTTAATTAAAAATAAATAAACAATAATAATAAAATTTATATAATTTAGCAAATATAATTCAAATTCTTTTAAAAAATAATAACAAACTTTTAAAAATAAACTTTTTACAAAAAGATTTTAATTGATTGCGCTTAAAACTAAATTAACGTTTAGATTTCGTTTTTTTGAATCTAATTTTACGGATATATATACTTTTTTTTGCGAGATAACTTTTTGTCCAGAATAGTTATTTCTTTCAGGAGAATATTTTTGAAGTCATTTTTTTTGTTAGTAGTTTTACTATAACTTTAAAATCTAATACTTGAAAAAAGTTATTAAAGGTTTGTAGTTAATAATTGATTTCATACAATTTGAATATTTTATATATTTATATATATATAAAAAAAACATAATAAAAAATGTTTTGCAAAGCTTAAACTGTTGCTAAGCATCATGTAATCTTTTCATTCCAATAAAATATTGGGAATTGCGATAATATCTGAGAGCCATTGTTTTAGTTAAAATTCTTTTGTTTTAAGCATAACAATGGTATATCTCAAATAAAAAAATTTGCTAGAGTTGAAACTTGTTTAGTGATTTTGACTGATTTACCAAAGTTAAATATTTTGTTTTTAAATAATAAATTCAATCTTTTGTGTGTTTTCTGGTATTCCATGGTGTAATTAGATATTAAAATATGGCAAATAATTGTATATACATCAGCACATAAATTATTTTTAAAAACTACTAAACGATTGCAACTTTCGTTTTTTAGACTGATTAGATAAATTAAAAGTGGCTGAATTATTTATTTTGTTTGCTTTCTTTGGAGTAGTAAA